TTTGTAAAGTGGTTATCCCACTGGCTATAGGGTGAATGCACCAATTTGTAAGTCGCTCTGGATAAGAGCGTCTGCTAAATGACGTAAATGTAAATGTAAATGTAGTCAAGGAACAGCATTCTTACATAGGTATTCCACTTGTCCAGATGGGATAGTGTGCAGTGCGATGGCGATTGCATCATCCGTGGATCTATTGGGGCGGTGTACAAATTATGCAAATTGTTTGGGTCTAGGGTGTCAGATAAGGTAGAGGTGATATGATCCTTAATTAGCCTCTCAAAGCACTTCATGATGACAGAAGTGAGTGCTACGGGGCGATAGTAATTTAGTTCATTTACCTTCACTTTCTTGGGTACAGGAACAATGGTGGACATCTTGAAGCAAGTGGGGACAGCAGACTGGGATAGGGAGAGATTGAATATGTCCGTAAACACTCCAACTAGCTGGTCTGCGCATGCTCTGAGGACGCGACTAGGGATGCCGCCTGGGCCGGCAGCCCTGCGAGGGTTAACACGCATAAATGTCTTACTCACGTCGGCCACAGAGAACGAGAGCTCACAGTCCTCGGGAGCGGCCCGAGTCGGCTGCACTGTGTTATCCTCAAAGCGGGCGAAGAAGGTGTTTAGCTTGTCCAGGAGCAAGACGTCGGTGTCCGCGACGTGGCTGGTTTTCCCCTTTGTAATCCGTGATTGTCTGGAGTCCCTGCCACATATGTCTCGTGTCTGAGCCGTTGAATTGTGACTCCACTTTGTCTCTGTACTGATGTTTTGCCTGTTTGATTGCCTTACGAAGGGCATAACTGGACTGTTTGTATTCGACCACATTCCCAGTCACCTTGCCATGATTAAATGCGGTGGTTCAGGCTTTCAGTTTTGCACGAATGCTGCCATCTATCCACGGTTTTTGGTTTGGATAGGTTTTAAACGTCATTCGTCACAGTGGGAACAACATCCTCTATACACTTCCTGATGAACTCAGTCACCGTGTCAGTGTATACGTCAATGTTATTCTCAGAGGCAACCCGGAACATATCCCAGTCCGCGTGATCAAAACAATCTTGAAGCATGGATTCCAATTGGTCAGACCAGCGTTGAATAGACTTTAGCACGGGTACCTGTTTTGAGTTTCTGCCTATATGAAGGGAGGAGCAGAATGGAGTTGTGATCTGATTTGCCGAAGGGAGGGCGGGGGAGGGCCTTGTAGCCATCCCGGAAGGGAGAGTAACAATGGTCAAGAGTTTCTGAAGCGCTACAGACAATGTGTTGATAAAACTTTGGTAGCGTTTTTCTCAGATTTGCTTTATTAAAGTCCCCAGCTACAATAAATGTGGCCTCAGGATATGCGGTTTCCAGTTTGCGCAAAGTCCAGTATAGTTCCTTGAGAGCCGTTGTAGTATTGGCTTGAGGGGGAATATGCACAGCTGTGACGATGAGTGAAGAGAATTCTCTCGCGAGGTAATGCGGTCGGCATTTGATTGTGAGGTATTCTAGGTCAGGTGAACAAAAGGACTTGTACGTTACTACAATCACACCATGAGTAGTTAATCATGAAACATGCACCGCTTTTCTTCTTCACGGAGAGTTCTTTATTCCTATCTACGCAATGTACTGAGAACCCAGCTGGCTGTATGGACGGGGACAGTGTATCCAGAGAGAGCCATGATTCCGTGAAACAGAGTATGTTACAGTCCCTGATGTCTCTCTGGAAGGAGATCCTCGCCCTGAGCTAGTCTACTTTATTGTCCGGGGACAGAACATTAGTGAGTAATATACTCGGAAACGGTGGATGGTGTCCACGCCTCCTGAGTCTGACTAAAAGTAAACTCTGAATAACTCTTCTCTGCCAAAACAGTGCAAAAATAAAAATAAAAGGTCAATAAAGATGCAAAGTTAACTCAGATAGTCCGTGTAGCTATTTTGTTAGCTATTTATCAGTCTTATTGATTGGTGATAGAAGCTGTTCAAGAGCCTGTTGGTGCCAGACTTAATGCACCGGTACCGCTTGTCATGCGGAAGCAGAGAGAATAGTCTATGGCTTGGGTGGTTGGAGTCTTTAACGATTTTCCGGGCCTTCCTACCAATGATATAGATGTCCTGGATGGCAGGGAGCTCGGGCCCCAGTGATCTACTGGGCTGTCCACACCACCCTCTGTAGCGCTATGCGATCGAGGGCGGTGCTATTTCCATACCAGGCAGTGATGCAGCCAGTCAAAATGCTCTCAATGGTACAGCTGTAGAACTTTTTGAAGATTCGAGGGCCCATGCTGACTTTTTTCTACCTCCTGAGGTGGAAGAGGCGCTTTCGTGCCTTCTTCACGACTGTGTGCGTGTGTTATGACCATTTTAAGTATTTAGTGATTTGGACACCGAAGAACTTAAAGTTCTCGACCTGCTCCACTGCAGCCCATCGATGTGGATGGGAGCGTGTTCGCCCCCCCACGATCAGCTCCTTGGTCCTTGGTCTTACCGACGTTGAGGGAGAGGTTGTTGTTCTGGCACCACACTGCCAGGTCACTGACCTCCTCCCTGTAGGTTGACTCATCGTCGCCCGTGATCAGGCCTACCACCGTAGTGTCATCAGCAAACTTGATGATGGTGTTGGAGTCGTGCATGGCCACGCAGTCGTGGGTGAACAGGGAGCACAGGAGGGGAGTAAGCACACACTCCTGTGGGGCTCCTGTGTTGAGGGTCAGCATGGTGGAGTGGATGTTGCCTACCCTCACCACCTGGGGTCGGCCTGTCAGGAAGTCCAGGATCCAGTTGCAGAGGGAGGTGTTCAGACCCAGTGTCCTAAATTTGGTGACGAGCTTGGAGGGGACAATGGTGTTGAACGCTGAGCTGTAGTCAACAGCATTCTCACATAGGTATTCCTCTTATCTAGGTGGGTGAGGGCAGTGTGGAGAGAAATTGAGATTGAGTCATCTATGGATCTGTTGGGGCAGTATGCAAATTGGAGTGGGTCTATGGTGGAGTTAATGTGTGCCATAACCAGCCTCTTAAAGCACTTCATGATTACAGAAGTGAACGCTACAGGGCGGTAGTCATTGTGGCATGAAGCCTTAGAGTTCTTGGGGACAGGAATGATGGTGGTCATCTTAAAACATGTGGGGATTACAGACTGGGACAAGGACAGGTTGAAAATTACAGTGAACATGCCTGCCAGCTGTTCTGCGCATGCTCTGAGAACAAGCCCTGGAATACAGTCGGGACCCGCGGCCTTGCGGGTGTTGACCTGATTAAAGACCTTTCTCACATTGGCCTCGGAGAGCGAGATCACCTAATCCTTTGAGTTTCTGCTTGTAAACAGGAAGCAGTAGTACAGAGTCATGATCTGATTTGGCGGACGAGGGAGGGCCTTGTATGCTTGCTAGTGGGTAGAATAAGAGTGGTCTTTATCGCCGTTAGTGGCATTGGAGACGTGTTGATGGAAGATGGGCATCACGTGTCTTAGTGAAGCAGAATTTAAATCGCCGGCAACCAGAAAGGCAGCATCTGGATGTAGGTTTTCTTGCTTGTTTATAGCCTTGTACAGTTCATTAAGTGCCAGCTTGTTATTTCCCCGACTCCACTGTCCTGTCTGCCCGGTGAATGGAGAATCCATCGAGTTGGAGAGCCATGTTTCAGAAAATAAAACAATATTGCAGTTTCGAGAGTCCCGTTGGTAGCAAATCCGCGATCGGAGGTCATCCATCTTATTATCGGGTGACTTTACCAGTAGAATGGAGGGAAGAGGTGGCCGGTTTTCCCTTTGCCTTAATCTCACCAGGACCCCCCCACCTTGCCTCTGTAACGCCGGCGTTTCCTCTTGGGTAGCCTGAAAATTGGCTCGGAATTACAGAGAGAGCCCAGGGAAGATGAGTCGAAGTTGAAGCCGGAATTGGGATAAGTAACTGCCGATCTGATGTTCAAAACGTATTGTCGGTTGTAAGTAATAATAGCGGATACATTTCGTGAAAATAAAGTAAAAATAAACGACAAAATAATCACAAAATAGCAAAGTCGGGTCAGAGCAAAACGGCGCCATCTGATAATTTGTTGTAAATATTATTTTTAAGCCTTGAGACAATTGAGACATGGATTGTGTATATGTGCCATTCAGAGGGTGAATGGACAAGACAAAATATTTAAGTGCCTTTGAACGGGCTATGGTAGTAGGTGCCAGGCACACTGGTTTGTGTCAAGAACTGCAACGCTGCTGGGTTTTTCACGCTCAACAGTGTGTATCAAGAATGGGCAACCACCCAAAGAACATCCAGCCAACTTGACACAACTGTGGGAAGCATTGGAGTCAACATGGGCCAGCATCCCTGTGGAACGCTTTCAACACCTTGTAGAGTCCATGCCCTGATGAATTGAGGCAGTTCTGAGGGCAAAAGGGGGTGTAACTCAATATTAGGAAGGTGTCCTTAATGTTTTGTACACTCAGTGTATATATAAAACACAGGAAAATGCAGTTTTGACTGCACTGGGCCTTTAAAGGATAGTTTATCCTGACCTGAAATGTACATTGAATTGTCCACAATCCTAAGCATGTGTGTTCCAGGTGTGTGAGAACCAACAGAATGACCATCAGCTATTTCAGTTGAACCTGGAGAGCACCCGGGAGGCCCTGAAACAGGCTGAGAGACAGGGACCACATGGGAGGGGAGCTGTTTGTGCGTGCATGTGTATATTTATTCTACTCAGTTGAACATTGACGTTGTGCAGTGCAGTTTAAGTGTTGCTGTTGGTCTCAGATATTTTGCTGTTGTTTCTGTGGCTGTAGAGGAGGGGCTCAGATGGAGTCTATGACCAATCAGGGAACAGAGAGAGGAGGAGGAGGAGGGACAGAGACGAGGAGCAGGGTCAGTCTACAGACAGGCTCTGAGCAGGAGTATAGAACCCCACCCAAACCGGCCAGACCTCCCCTTCCCCCTCCTCGTCGCAGGAGAGAGACGGGCACCCCAGCAGGAGGAGGAAAGTATTGTTTCCGGTTTGACCTCTGACCTCGCTGACATAACTATGGCAACCCGGGACCTCATCACTACTGTCCCCAGAGAGTTACTGAGTCACTCAACGGTCCAAGCTAGCAGCGCTAGCAACCGTTTGTCATCAACGATGAGAGGGACCCAAAATGTAGCAAACTCCAGTACTCGTATTTCCAGTCACTACACCGATCGAGAGTCGAGCTACAGTCACCCGGAAACAACTACAGGGAGAGAGACTAGAGAGACCATGGTAACACCTAACATAGCCGTCGCCACAGGATCACTGAGTCGTTCTCGATCGCCAGGTCAAGCTAGTGTCACCCTTAGCGACTACCTGTCCACCGTTTCAGGAAATCAAGGCACGCCTCTTAGGCAACAAGATCAACAAAAACTTACCAGTGAACATGAATCTAACTACAGCCGCCAGGAAACACCAGGGAGAGCTAGCAAGGAAACAATGGCAACCCGTAGTAGCCTAGCCGCTGGAGCCATCACACTGTCGCTGAGCGACCGCATCGCTAGCTACCGCAGCCAACAGAGATCAGCAGGGGGAGAAGACAGAGGGATACAGAGTCAGAGTGGAGTTAGTGGTAATAATATTGGGAATGAGGGTTTGCTAAACCGCACTCCAAATCAAGTTACACATCTGGTAAAGTTAGCATTAGCGACAGAGTATCGAACTACAGCCATCAGGGATCGTCAGGAAAAGAATGCAGGTAGTCGTTGTTTGAGGGGGGAATCAGTACGAATGCCTGTTCCCTGTTGGAGAGGACAGAGTCCCCTGAATATGGGTGTATCAGTATGATTGAGGGACAGACAGGACCTGGCTCCTATAAGACAGCTAGTTGTGGCTGTGGTAGTATGACTGACGGACAGGCAGGGCAGAGCTGTAGGTGTAGTTGTACATCTGAAGGCCAGGAAGAGAGTGAACCTACCCCGTCTGAAGCAGGCAGCTCTCAAACAGGGACAGGGGCAGGGATGGAGCTCCTAGTTGTGTTTAATGGAGGACACGAGGCAGAGGACTCCTCCATACTGCTGGTGGACATCAACCCCAGAGCTCTGAAAGACTCTCAGAACACCTGGTAGGGACAGACTATACAGAGAAATGAGTACACTGAATGGTACACTCTTTTATATTGACCTCACATTTCTCTCAGGGATAGTAATTGGTTGATTGATTGGTTGATTGAATGATTGATTGATTGATTGTATGATTGACTGACTGCTTTCCCAGCCAAGGTGATCTCACCTGTGTGTACATGGATAGCCCCTCAGCTTCCTCTCGGAGTAGGAGGAGCCTCAGTCCTGCCAATGACCCCGCCTCTCCACCAACCGCCTGTCAACAAGGTGTTGTCAACGGCAACCTGGGAGGCCTTTTTACAGCTGTAGACGATGTGAGTGGACCACGTAACCTGACAGGAAAAACTCCTGGCCTTCATAATAACTTCACATCGTGGACATAAAGAATTCGGTCTTAAACTTCGTTATCTTTTGTCTATCATCTTAGGAGGACCAGTGTTCTTGCACCAATCGTCTACAGAGGCTGCTAGCTGAGTCTCATCAGATGGTGGCTGGCTCGGAACGCACAACCCTACAACCTCTAAGCCCCTCCCACAGCCCAGCCTCTAACTTTGACGCTGTCATTAGCCTCAGCATCAGCCACGATAGTGGCAACAATAACCATGGAAACCTCAGTTGTAACTGTGACAGACATAATCACAGCAATCCCGATCACTACCTCAACCAGAGCTCCACCCACACCATAGGAGCCTATAAAAAAAGCCGGGGATGTGCTTTTTTGTGTTTTATAGATACGATAATTATTCAGACCAAAATACTACTGATAATTGTTAGATACAGTGGGGGGGGAAAGTATTTAGTCAGCCACCAATTGTGCAAGTTCTCCCACTTAAAAAGATGAGAGAGGCCTGTAATTTTCATCATAGGTACACGTCAACTATGACAGACAAAATGAGAAAAGAAAATCCAGAAAATCACATTGTAGGATTTTTAATGAATTTATTTGCAAATTATGGTGGAAAATAAGTATTTGGTCAATAACAAAAGTTTCTCAATACTTTGTTATATACCCTTTGTTGGCAATGACACAGGTCAAATGTTTTCTGTAAGTCTTCACAAGGTTTTCACACACTGTTGCTGATATTTTGGCCCATTCCTCCATGCATATCTCCTCTAGAGCAGTGATGTTTTGGGGC